TTTGTGTGTGTTTGAATGCTTGAATATCCTAACAATTGACATTAGAGTTTGTTCTTGAAAAAGAGGGTGTTTGATCCAAACTCAAAAATCAAAGTTCTCAAAACGTGTTTTTGAACATACCATCGTGTAGAGGAAGATAAGACAAATCCACTAGTGAAAACCCGATGAATAACTGACATCCTTTATGCCCGTATGAGCTAACATGCACCGACAACATAATTACCCACGCACACCAACACACCCCTCGTGCTCCATGCGTCTTTTTCACCTGAATATCTACAACTAAATTGGGTTGACACGACATGTCAGCAGCCATAGTAGCAATTATGCATAGTTAGCAGTCATATCACCTGCCACATCATTGTTCATGTCAGCAAAGACAAGTCAAACAGAAAATCCACATGGATCTACAACGTCATCATATGTGGGCCCTTTTTGCTTACGTGTATGACATATCAGCATACTAGATTTTGGTCTAGTGTAACGCAACCACCATTCCTATTGACACATGTTTTCATTTGTAGCGTCAAGTTATTCAAAAGTTTGATTGATAAGATCTAAGCCATCCAAAGCCTGATTTGGATTATTTAAAAAAAATTTGGTCATTTTGGACACATCTGTAAGGTCAGATCTGGTCGAATCAAATTCAAGACATATTAAAAAGGGTAGATGAAATAAAGGCTGCGGGAATTGAAAAATTTGATGGAACAGATTTTGGATATTGAAAAATATAAATTGAAGATTATCTATATAGGAAGAAGCTTTATCTTCCTTTTTTGGGGAGAAAACTAGAGAATATGCTAGAAAAAGATTGATAAATTCTTGATAGACAGGTTTTAGGCATTATCCAGCTTTCCTTGTTAAGAAGAGTTACTCACAATGTTACAAAAGAAAAATCCACTACAAAATTGATGGAAGCCTTATCTGGATGAATGAGAAGCCCTCAATAAATAATAAAGTGCACTTGATGAAGAAATTGTTCAACCTAAAGATGACAGAAAGCACCTCTGTTATACAACATCTTAACAACCTCAATGCCATCACAAATCAATTTTCATCTGTTGAGATTGAGTTTGATGATGAGATCCATGCACTTATTTTGCTAGCTTCACTTCCAAGTAGTTGGGAAGGTATGAGAATAGCCGTCAGCAACTTAGTCATAAAATTCAAACTGAAATATGATGACATCTGAGACTTATTTTTAGCTGAAGAAGTGTGAAGGAAAGACTTAGGTGAAAGTTCAAGTACAAGTTCAGCTCTCAACATAAACACTCAAGGGAGGAGTGATTAGTACTTAAAAGTGCATTTTTATCAAGGTTTCATATAATTATTTTGCACTTAAAGTATCAATAACTCCTTAACTAAAGCATGTTTTATAATAA